ACCAATCTAAAAACTTAAACTTAAAAAGTACGCTTGTAATAATGTATGTTTTTTCTAAATTAAATATTAATACTTTCTTTTACACGTTTCTTGATTTTTTTTTTTGTTAATAATGTACATTAATATATATTCCTTTGTTTCCTTTCTCCACCACAAAGTACCAATTTCTCTTATTTTAAAATATAATATTTTAAAAAAAAAATTTGGGGACAGCCCTGTAAGCTCCCATCCCTTCAACTCTAGGACCCCCTACTTCTACGGGCTAGCTCCACCCCTGCATTAGGGATGACAACGGGCCGCCCCCCACCTCATCCCAGCCCCGTTACTCGTTTAAGGCGAGGTGGGGTTCTTTCCCCGTTTATTCTCCGTTTAAATTTTTTTNNNCCTTTTAAATTTTTTTTTTTTTTTTTTAGTTTTTGATAATTTATTTTTATTGCCCATATTCATTAGATTTAGACAAATAATTTTAGTTGCTATTTTCTATTAGAACTAATGAAAATTTTCATTTAAAATATTGAATTCTAAAATAAAATAATAACGGAACGGGACGGGACGGGACGGGGCGGGGCGGGCGGGTATCGGGTTTGTCGAATGTTTTTGCCTTCCCTACCCTGCATGGAGGTGCATACATACATATATAACAAATTAAGCTTGGATTAACTGTACACAGACAAAGATAAAAAGAGGGAGAGACCCTTGATCACCCATTTGAATGACCTCAATCCAGCTAACTTTTTTAACAGATGAAGCTGGCGTTTGATCCAAAATCTACACAATAGCATAACAAATATTGGTAAGAAAATTGCTTATCACAGCAAACCAAGAAGAACCCATAACAATAAAATAAAATACTGATTTTCACCTGAAGAGTCTCGTGGATGGTGTTGAGGTGCTCGTTCGGGTCAGTTTCTCTTTTGCTGCTTTACCCATACCAAAATCATACACATACTTGCGTGCACAGGGTGAATTGTTACTATTATTTAGTTAGGGTTCTTTTGGTTTATGCACGTTGTTTGGTACAAGAACAGTGGGTCGGGTAATATGGAACGGACCTTCCAAGATCCAGATTAAGGAAGTTAAGAACTCAAACGAGCGCCATTAATCACGCGCCCAGGCTGCAGGTCGTCGTCTAATCCTTACAATTACTGGAAAATAAATTAGGGAAAATTGAAGTCCTGGTGGCTGAGTTAATTGTTTGAATGGTCACTGAACTTTTAGAATGGTCATGTTTCACTCACCGAACTTCAAATTGCACCCCATTACTCATTGAACTTTAGTCCGTTGCACCCCGTTACACACCGGGCAACTTCCGTTTCTAACTCCTGCCTACATGGATGACGGAATGTACACATGGCAGTTAAATCTCTCCAAAGTAAAAATCAAATGCCAGCTCATTTAAAGTGCAACTCCAAACACGCCTCAACCAAAGCAGAATTAAATCTTGGGCTTCTGACCAAAAATTGAAAGTTCAGATTCTTTCTAAACCCTAACCCCC